AGGTCTTTAAACCTAGCATGCTTCTTTGCCATGAAAGTCATGAAACTTTTTTTTTTTTAATGTTATTTTGAATGTTATTTTAAATTGAATGTCTCATGCCATAATGATATGGTTGTTGCATTCAACAAGTTAGCTAAATAATTTTTTTTATTTCTAGTGACTATTCCTGAATTATATAAGCATTTTTTTCTAGTGATCATCAAAATTCAAGCAGTCAAACTCTCGATTGTCAATTCATTTACTGTGGTGGGTAACAGAAAAATTAGTTAAAGATAACCCTTTGTAGACCACTTAAAAATAACAAAAAACTTTCTAATGAACTTTTTTTTGCATATTAAGTCAAGAAGAGAGCTTTATCATTTGCATCTATAAATCATACATTATACCAACATTCATTTGATAAAATATGACTAGGATGTTTGGGAAAGGAAGAAGCTCATAAGGTTATTAGTTAGGTAAATGATAGGCCAGTACTTTTGGCCTTCTATGACTAATAATTGCATGGATATCACTTGCCACTCATTATTGTAGGTCTACGACATGATCCTTCATCAACCATTGAAACTACTATGCTTCTAACAGTAGCCTCACCATCTTTCTAAAGCTTAGGAATAAACATTGTTAAGCTTATTGATCCTCATTTTTTTTCCAAAGGTCATATATTCAAAATTGTGAATGCTACTCACTTCTATGGGTAGGGACAATTCTATTAATAGAGATAAAAGCTAGTCATGTTTCATAACTCTTTCAGACCATATCATTTATTAAATTAGCATTCCCAACCAAATTATATTTGATAATGGTATTTTGATCAATAAATTTGTACACTAACATAATATCAATTAGTGTTATTCAACAATCAATTATCTTAGAGCTAATGATTTAGCCAAAGCCGCTAATAAAACATTCGTCAAATTGGTGCTAAACAACAATGAAAGAGATTGACATAATAAATTGGTGGATACTTTGTGAGCTTATCAATCCACATATTAAGCACCATCAAATCCACCCCTTCAACCTTAGTCTATCAAGATAAGGGTATGCTATCTAAAAAGGTAGAGCTCTCTTCATTGTGGGTCATCATTTCTCATCAAATCAATAAAGATCATGTCATGCTTAAGTTGGAGGAGCTTGATGGCCTATAAGTGAAATGCCTACAACTATTTTAAGGCTTTAATGATGTAACCCCATGATAGACTGGTTTAGCTAGAGGCTTACAAAGTTAGAGACTTAGCCTTTATTGTGCAAATCAAAACAAATTTCCTAGCATTGATTTTGCTAAATATGAGCATGCCTTTATCCTATTTGGTTTTAGAATTGGTTAAATCAATTGACTATGATGATAAAATTTAAAATTTTAACTCATTAAATTTTTTTTTTTCAAATAAAATAAATTGAACCAATTTGTAATTTGGTTAGTTCAATGTAATTTTAAATAAACAAAAAAAAATCTAATCATATTTTAACTTAACTCGGACCCGACCTGGCGGGTTGCCAGGTTGACCCGACCTCAAATAATTTTTGTTAAAATTTATAATTTAACACATAAAATAATTACTATGCACTTTAATCTTTAAATCACTCATTTATTTACATGATTTTATAATTTAATATTTAATAAAATAAAATTAATTAAATGTTTTATTTTATAAATTTTACAATAGGAAAAATTAAATGAATAATAAAAATTTAAAAAATCAAAAATAAAACCAACAAGTGAATATATTCTTTAATAATTAAATCAAATCAGCCAAATAAATTTAAATCAGCTCAACTTATTTTAATTTTATCCAACAATGTATTGCAAGGCTTAGGACCAATGGAAAACTCATTTTGCACTCCAAAATGCAATAACTCATCACCAACCAAACTCTGTTTTATAACAACAAAAAAGAATGTTCTACAATATACTCTCGTAACATTAAAAAATGGCATTTGTGAATATTGCAGCACCATCACCTCACGAAAAAGCCGCTGAATCTCGTGTTCAGTAGGAGCTCGCGGCGACAACAAACGCTTGTCTCGCGTTTGGTTGGAGATGACCTTAGTGAACGAAATATATACTGACCTATCAACAATTATGTTTGATCTCAAATATCTTATGAGTAGAGATATCTTAGCATCACAAAAAGAACAGGCTGATGAAATTAATGGAACTATTTTACATAAACAAGCTTTGCAGATAAAAATGTATCTTAGTGCTAAATTCGAAGTTTCAGTGAACGATTGTGCTATAGAGAATGATATTTTGGTAATATCTGAACTGTTGAACATATCAAAATCATCGCTTCTTAGTAAACAAAGCCATCGCTCAACAATTGGCAACATAACTGATGACGGCAGATTAAGAGATATAGAGCAAAAAGGGAAGATAAATGGGTGAATACAGTAACAGGAAAGGCACAAGAGCATTTCTATTAGGATCTTGAATGAGGAAGAAGCCCTTCAAGAATTTCTTATTCCTTAACCATACCCTATTACAACCTAAAGCCCCTATTTAAAGACTCAAAATGCTACATCAATGACAATACAAGCCATTAAAGAAAACTAAAGAAAGTACACATGAAAAACTACCTAAATCTTGGACTAATATCCAACAATTTTAAAATAAGATGTTCAAACCAAAAGTAAATCATGGTGTAATAGAATCTCTTCTAATAGCAATTGCAATCAAAAGACTTGATCAGCTAAAAGTGAGAGAGAGAGAGAGAGAGAGAGAGGGAGAGGGGTAAATCATGGTGTTACAGAATCTCTTTTAGTAGCAATGGCAGAGAGAGAAACAGAACATGAAAAGGGGAATAAAGGTATAAAAAAAGGAATTTAGACAGATGTATAAGATGACCAGTCAAACACAGTGTATCCAGTCCCTTGAGCTCCAGTTAGTGTCAAAATCATGAAAAATTATATGTGCGGACACCAGACGTTGTCTGGAGGCAAATCAGAGCACGTCACATCACCCTTTTCTTGTGTACCCGCTGCGTACCAGGTGACGCGGCGCGCTCTGATTCACCTCCGTGCGGTCTGGTGTCCGCACTTAATAATTTCTCCAAAATCATAGGATGAGTTCATAACTTGATGTACAAAAGCTTACTCTTGCTCTTGCAAAAAGGCTATTTCAATGAATCGAACATGAAAATGGCAAAGTCATGAGTTGTAACCAATGTTTAAAATTGCGTAATCGGGTATTGAAGCATTTTTCGATCGTGAGGCGAGGCGTAAGCTTCAAGGCGTAAGCCTCAAAATCAAAAGATTGCGTAAACATAAAATGATAATTTTGTTATATACTAATGAACAAAAAATATAAAACATAAAAAAAGCACAAGTTATGAAGTGAAATCAAAATATCCCAATAATAAGAAAATATGAAATATAATTAAACTCATATTCTATCTTTCCCAAATCACAATATTCTTTTCATTATCATATAATTCCAAAAATAAATAGCAATGAATACAACAATATGTCGTGCAGCCGAGTGTCCAAGAGGGCGCTGCCCGGTCAGGTCGCAGGGTCAAGGGGCAGCGCCCTTGCGGGGATTTCCGGGGGCAGCGCACCCGGAACAAATTTTTATTGTAAGAGTAATTTTGAAGTTCTACTTATTTTTAAAGTTCATAAGTCGTTTGTATGTAAAGATACCTAGCGGTACCGAGCATGTACCTAGCTGTACTGAGCATGTACCTAACGGTACCGAGTATGTACCAAGCGGTACCAAGCATTGTTGTACCGAGTGGTACCGAGCAGTACAGAGCATGTACCGAGCGATACCAAGCGGTACCGAGAAGACAGACCAATTGCGGAATCTTATTAGGTTAGGGCTTTTTAAAAAAATTTTAAGAGGCGGACACCTCTAAAACATGAGGCGAGGTGCGCCTTAGTGAACATGAGGCGTACGCCTAAATGTCAGCTCTCATTGCGTAGGCTTTGAGGCTTAAAAGTTTGAAATAGCACTGAGGCGCGCCTCTTATTGTGTAATTTTAAATCATGGTTGTAACTGAAGAGGGCTGACAATGAATAAATAAAGGTTTCTCCAAGCAATCTCTCAGGGGAACAATTCATCAGTCTTATATCTAGCCATGAGGCTCTCCTGTCTCTTTCTCTTTAATTCTTGCATCCCTTCATTAACACTTTCATTCATCACTTATCCAATTACATTTTTACTAACTCTCTCACTCTTCCTCTACAGCAGCTTTTTGCCGTCTCAACAATCAAGAAATCAAAGGTATTCTGCCCAGAAACAAACTACCCGTCACTACTACTATATTTAGAAAAGCACACCCTCCGCTCATCCACACTAATACATATCTCAATCTAGAACCGTCTACGGAGTTGGGTGGGGCTGTGAGAAGGGAAATGAGAGAGAAAGAGCGAGGAATGTCTATAAAAGGAATGGGGTGGCTAGAGAGGATTAGGGAAGATAAAGTTTGTTGGTCAGTATAACCTTTAGAAGTGGTCTTTGGGAAGTGGTTAATATCTCAATCCATTAGAACCAAAGCCTTCAATAACTTAAAATTTTAATTCAAAAGATGTACTTAAATGAGGGAAATCCATAAAATAAATTAATCAATCTTATAAGAAAATTCCAAGAGATGAAACAAGTTCTAAAGCTTTTGTTAGAACTAGAAACATATATCAATGAAAAAATTACCAGAATTATAAGAAATCAGAAAACAAATACATTATAGAGACGTTTGATCAAAGCTCCATTTTTTTTTAAATAAAAAACTTTGCAACCACTTCTGCACCAAACTATTATCAGAATCCACACTTCCATGATGGAAAAAGATTAACTTGTAGATGCTAATAAATCAAACAAAACTACAAAAATTATAACGTGGCTATCCATAAAGAGCAAGACAAAACAATCAAGTCTTCCCAATTCCATAAGTAACTTACTCACAAAGATCAGCCAGCTTTAAACTATTACAAAGTTTAGAAACGACTTATCTGGAACTCAATAACAATCCTTCATAAATTCCTATACAGCCATTAGCACAGAATAGTAAATAAAGTGAAGCTTAAGAGTTTCATAAAAAGAGTGATCCAGAGATAACACATCGCAGCAGGTCATGTAACATAGAGAAGGATTGGTAATACTAAAGCTTCTAGCAAAGAACAGTATCACATATAAACAAACCACAATACAAGAAGTAAAATTCAAAATGGAAAGAACCATAGAAAGCAATCAAACAAAGGAGATAAGTATGAAATAATTATGGCACACGAATTCGTGCACCTTCTTTGTCTCAAAGATGAATTAAACTATACCTGTCCCCACACAAAAATTTAATGAATTTCTTCCTTGATCACAGCCAAATTGAAGTCAGGGGAGTGCAGCTTTTCACTTGACAATCTGATGAGAACAATAGGATAACAGACATGCTTCAAATCTTAAAATTCCTTGAGCAAGGAATGGCTACCAAAAACCAGTTCTTTATATTAGGTTGCCTTCGTTCTTCACCACCTAGACATCTCACTTCTAATCCCATCTTCATACGACCAGCCACTGAGCATCCGCGCACGACTAATTGATGTATCTCTCGAGCTCCTTCGAGAAGTTTGTGATGCAGAAGATAATCTCAACCTTGAAGACACAGACGAAGAAGTAGAAGAGCCAAAGCACCCAAAAACCGAGAAGAAATTCCGAATCATTCTGCCAATTCCTCTGCTTTGCCTTGAATGATTCCCTCTGGAAGACCATGACATCCTTCCAGGGGCTGCACCAGAACTGAAACTACCATCCATCTCTGTATAAACCATAGGAAGCTCCCTCTCACCGGCTCGCCGTCCGCCAGAAAATCTCCCCACTGCAAACCCACCACCAGGAAGTCTCCAAATGGTAAGCCCAACAGAGTTTTCATCCGTGCCCATTAAAGGCTGCCCGGCAACATCTCCAACTCTTCTTCCTGCATCAGTGGGCAGCTCATGGCGGCAAACAGGGCATGAATTTCTCAAGGAGAGCCATGGCAAAATGCAATCTTGATGAAAGATATGTTTGCAGGGCATCTCCTGAGCTTCGGCACCTATCTCAAACGCCTCTTTGCAAACAGCGCAGTAAGAATCCATTGCGATATGGCTAGTAGTGATCGCAATAGAGGGTAACGATTCAATAGCTGCCTTGGAGGCCGGAGTGTTCTCGTGGCTCCTCACGCCGCCCACAACGCCGCTCTCGATCTGAGATAGTTGTTCAAGGAGCCGATCGAATCCAGAGCCCATGAGGAAATCCGACATGCTTTGAGGCAAGGGGCGGAGTCCTGAACCGGCACCATCGTCGTAATAGAGCTCAAAGCTGCTACCCTCGCTGGACCGTGTAATCTCAGACGAGGAACCCCGGAAGACAATCACAGGGTTGAAAGAGGAGCGGTTATTAATCGATGCACGGCGGGTGCGACGGGGCCCGGCATCAACACGGCGAGCGGTGGGAAGCGTCTGCTCACCGGAGGATGTCGTCCGGCGGCGAACGGCGCCGGTAGCGACAGGAGGGTTACGAACCTCCTCGAGGAAGCCGCCGCTGCAGTCGGGGCAGAGTATGACGTCGCCCGGCCAAACCCTAACAAAGCGGCTGCAGCTGTAGCACCAATACGACGTCGAAGTCACCGTCGCCACCGAAGAAGAAGACATCGAAGACGGAGGGGAGAGGAGATAAGTTGGAGCTGGAGAGGAGAGAGGAGGAGATCCCTAGATCTGGTAAAGGACCGACGAAGCCCTAAAAAAAATTGAATTTTGCTTTGTAAGAAGGGAAGAACAGGAGACGAAATACCTAAAAAAATAAGGAATATTTGCCAGAAAATACTCCAAAAGAATTTGAACGCCGCGACGAATAAATGCGCAATGAACACGAAAAGCGTCAGGTTACATGCATTGATATTTTGGCAATATATGATATAAATGAATAAATATTAATTAATTAATTTGCATTATTTGCTAAAATATACAAATAAAATGGATAAATAATATTTTTAAATTTTATCAACTAAATTAATTTCAGCCATTATATAATATAAATAATCTTTTTTATATGAATAAGTAAGTTGATGATAAAATTATTTTATATGTATTTTCTGTAATTCAAATTAAAAAAAAAATTTTTTTTTGACAGTTAAGAGCATCGAATGTGGATCATATAGGATGAAATTCTTCAGCCGACCAACTATCCATTGCTCAATCTAAAAATAAAAATTCTTAAAATTAATATTGATAATAAATATTTTTTTTAGTATAAATAATGTAACATTTTTTATTAATTAGTACAAAAATTAATCAGTTTATGAAATCTAAATATAATATTTCATCAAATCATTATATTCACTTCAATCTTACAAACAATCATAAATTTAATCAAATTCACATTTTAGTTATATTTCTTTTTTTATAATATAAAAAATAATATGAGCTAATTAGATTTATTAGAACGTGTTGAGCTCAATTAATGCTTCATTAGGGTAATATAGAGAGCATTAGATATTATAGGAACTTGTTGTGTAGCTATTAGTATAGTGTTATATTCAAATATTTATGAGGGTGATAACAAATAATGTTTGATGTAAAATTATTTATGTTTAGCTCATTAATAGTTGTTTAATTTATTTGGGAAACTCTTATATTTCATTTATGACAGCTTTCTTATTACTTTCTAAAGCAGCTTTTTAGTATAATTTTTTTTTTTAAAAAGCAGTAAGAAAGTTGTCCCAAACGAAACATTAATGAGTTCGGATTAAGATGAATTCTTGAGAAAGAATTTCATTTTGCATATTCTCTTTTGACTTGGTTTTGAGTGACTAAATAACTTTGACAAATTCTATAGATTTTTTTTTTTTAACAAATTTCTATAGATAGTTTTCTTCGTTGGGAAACTTTTAGGTTTTTGGAGATTGCAATATGTTGAAGGGTGAGATGAGAATATTGAATTAAGTATTTGGTGAATGGATTCAAATGTTAAAAACTTCATATATGGTGTTAGTTGAGCGACGATGATTGGATGATAGCAGTAATGAGATAATTGTCAGGCAATGGTGGTTTGATGATGAGAGTCAAAAGATTCTGGGTTGGACGATAGAGAATGAAAAATGATGATCAGCTAACAAAGATCAAAAGACAACGGTTGAATGGTGGGGGTCATGCGGTAATGGAGCTAGTAATGTTCATCGATATCGGATGCCAAGTAGAGCTTTGAAACTTTTTTAAGGCTTCATTTGTGACAATTTTTTTGCTGCTTCTTAAAATAGCTTTCTAGTATATAAAAAAAAATGTACTAAAAAATTGCTTTGAGAAATAATAAGAAACCGTCCCAATGGCTTTCTTATTGCTTCATAAAGCAGCTTTTTATCAAAAATTAAAAAAAAAAAATCGTCCCAAATGAATAACTTTAGCCTCGAACACTTTCATATGAAGAATAAGAATTTATTTATAAAGAGTTCCTTTTATCAAAATCTGTGTTTTTTTTTTTTTTTTTTTAATTTTTTTTTTAATCTTTTATTTAACCCGTCTTTCAACAATCCAATGACGACAAAGATGTCCTCTGTGTGTGAACAAAGTTTTTATTTATTTATTGATTTTTCTTTTTTCGTTTGACATATAAACTTGGCTGTATAGCACTATGTCATTGTTCATTCGTTCTGTCATCCGCTACAAATACAAATAATGAAAAGCTTAACGTGCGGTTATATACTTTAAAAAAAATGTCCAAATTTCTTGACATTGCCAAAGTTAAAAAATTAAGCTAAAATATTTAAATAAAAAAATTATCAAAAATATATAATTTTCAAATCATTTAATTTATTTTAATAAATATCATTTGAATTTTCTTACATTATACTCATCTCATTCAATTTTTTTTAATTGCCCACATTTAATTATGTGGCATTAGTCAGTAGGATAGTAAGTGAGACAAATAGACTCATGATCCAGCTCATTCGGTGGCTCGTGAGTCTAACTCGATAAGCGAACGAGTTAGACTTGATCTAGCTTCAACTGAACTCGTTAGCTTGTGAGCAGATTCGTTTAAAAGATATTAATATAAAATACGCTTAAATATTAGAGTTTAAGAGTTCAAATACAAATCTATAAAAAAATTTAAAATTTATATAACACTTTCTTATATCAGAAGATTTTTAATTCTTCATCTTAAAGTTTCTCTTTCTTTTAGGGTTTAATTAGGGAAATAATAATTACTTAAATCAAAATTATTTTCCCTCTTTCATTTTAAATGAGATAGTTCATGAGTTAGCTCAAACTCTTAGAATTAAGATTTTATTTCGGACAACTTTTTTATTACTTTCTGAAGTAATTTTTTTTTTCAAAATTTTTTATAATAAGAAATTGTTTTAGATTGAAGTAAAAAAAATATCCCGAACAAAATGTAAGGTCTCGTTTGGGATGATTTTTTTCTACTTTTCAAAATAATTTTTTAGTATAAAAATTAAAATTTGTGTTCTAAAAAGTTGTTTTGAGAACCAGCAAGAAAACCGTCCCAAAAGGAAGCAAAACTCTGAGCTCAAACTCAAACTCGATTAACAAATCAAGATTAAGGCTTCGTTTGGGATGGCTTTTTTATTGCTTTCTAAAACGGAGTTTTAGTACAATTTTTTTTATTTTTGTACTAAAACTCCGTTTTAGAAAGCAATAAAAAAGTCGTCCCAAACGAAGCCTAAGTTCAAATTATGAGTGACTCGAATTCGGGTTGTGCTCGATGTTAGTCAAACTTCTTAGAGTAATTATTTTAATTTTTTTTTTTTAAACAAGAAGCCAAAAATATCCAGGCTTGATAGTGTTATGGTCAGCGTTAATTTTTTTTTTTTTAATGATAAGCTATGGTCAGCGTTTTTTGAATTTATGCCACATGGAGGAATTGCATATAATGCATAACTGGCAATAAATAATAAATTTAATTATTGATTGGCTGAAAAGCAATATTATTTTACTAAATATTTGTTATTCTTATTTTTTTTAATATAAAAATTTATCTCATTTATTTTATTTAAAAAATAATCTAATATGAGGCATTCGTTACAATCCGTTTTGCTTGAAACTCTGGAGATAATTTTTATATTTGATTAATGTGTCATAAAATATGAAAATACTTATCCAAAATATTGCCAAGATTTTTAAAATTATATAAAAGCCAGAGTTTACTTTTTCACAAGGCATATAAATATAAAAGGGATTTACATATATACCACACATGATATTTTACTTTAAAAATTTTATATTAATGATATTTTTTATGTAATTTTAAAATTTATATTATATATGTAAACATCAAAATTTAAAGATTAGATGTCTAAATACATAATATATAAATCTCATAAATATAAAATCTGCAAAAGATTTCTAGTAGGTCAAGTTAAAAAAAAAATCATCAATGAGAATTGGATGATTGTTTGAGATCTATCTTGAGTTTCGTTTGGAACGATTTTCTTACTGCTTCTTAACATATAGACCCAACAAATTGAAAATCATCGACAACCACAATGCCATAAACTATATTAAGTGTCTTTATGAGTCATCAAACAAAAAAAAAAAGCTCTTATGGACATTGTGTTCCCCACTAACCCAACCAAATACTTCTTTGACACACTCAACACCATTATATGACTTCCAAACTAACGCCTTTTACGCTAGAACCCATCAATCAGCAGCAAGATTATCATCCAACTGTTAGAGAAGAAATGCAAATAGAAAACAAACCACATTGAACCGCTTTTAAAACTATTTTGTTAACTTGGAATACCTGCTTCCGGTAAGAAAAAATTGTAGTGAAAAATAATACGTGTTAAAAGACAGCTTTTGTCTTAATGCAATGGAAATATTATATTATTATTAATTAATTATTATTATAAGAGGCTTAAACAATATTAATATATAATTAATGATAGTTTATATATATTGATATTTAATAAAAAATTTATCTTGTCGGGCATGACTCTCAAGGCAAAATCAAGTTGAAAACTTCAAAAATTAAATCAGGCCATTTGAACTTTGATTTTAGCAAACTTTTAGTCAAACTGAACGTCTCGAAAATACGATATATTATTATGCGAGACATCGGATGGTTCTCCCGTTCGGTTTACTGCTCGGTGCCGAGTGTACGAGCAGGTACCGAGCGCTCGGTACGAGCGTACTTTTCTAGGACGCGCTGAACTTTTGATTGGCTTCCGGACAATTCGAGGTCTCACTTAATAATTTTTCAAAAATACGAGCCCAACGCACCAAATTCGCACCCAATCCGAGTTCAAATGGTCCAAATCAAAGACCCGAAGCGCATTTGAAAGTCAAACCATAATTGGATTACAAACAATTTCCAAATTTGACATGCTTATAGTCAAATCAAGCAGCTCGACAAGACGAATCTAATGGGCCTAAGATCCCAAATTCTGATTCTATTAAAAACAATTCAAAGCACACTTAAACGATCACAAAATAAAGCAATCAGCACACCGTCCATTCAAACCACTCCTCACTTAGCATTGATACCTCCTATATTACTGGTCATCACCTTAAAAAAAAAAAAACTATAAATAACATCTTATTTCACATGAGAGAAAGGGACCCAACAAGGAAGAAAGGAAAAGAATGAAAGAATTCTCATTGACACACTCTTCCTTAGACATCGATTGACACTGGACTTACATCCGACCACCATTGAAGCCAGACTTCTGCCCGTCCACCAACTGATGTTGATCCACTTAACCGTGGACTATGATCTTTCAGACCTTCGTCGAGTCTCTTGCCGACTACATCCATCTTAGACTTCATCCCTAACAACAGTCTTTCTGATCTTCATCGTCTGCCGACTACGATCCTTCCAACCTCCGTTGCCTGACATCAGTCTTTTCGAC